ATTCAAATCAGACAATTTGGTTCCAACAAACTATTGGATGATTTTGCCCTCTTCCTGCATCGATTTTCCAAAACCGTCAATGTCTGAAGGTTTTGCGGATAGACAGATAAACCTAATGAGCATAACTATTTTGATGTTACATGAAGATTGTTTACAATTCTTCTTGGAAACATCTATTTGAAATTGTTTGTCATTATATATTTGTCTATCAATTTTACTTTCTACCTATAAAAATTTGCAATGTGTCGATCTACAAGACCATTTCACTAATGTAAAACAAAAAAGGTCCGTAGACCATACGGAGTGAGTCGGCACAATTCAGCCTTGTGAAGGTTTCTTTCTTCCCAATAAGTACTGCTGGCTTAAAAAGAAGACGGATAATTAGAATTGTAAAAGAGCTCCATTATGCGCTTCGCGATGAATGATTGCTCTTTACCACCATCATCATTCTCCTTACTTAATAACACAATTTAACAACATCCATTAATTATAATACATAAAGGTCTTTTATTCCCACCCAATAAAAGTTTTTCTCATCGTTATTAATAATTGTACAGGGTTGTCATGGGTAAAACATATACATTCGCACAGCAAAGTCATTTTCGATATTATAGCTCTCTATAGAGCAAACAAGCCTTCGAGTAGTGACATCGAAGCTGTGGGGTATATACTCGTATAATATTAATTGAAATAGTGGAGAAGCTCTGAGCGGCATATATTACTACAGTCATCGTCTATATGCAATTCTGTACCTCAGATCCAAATTAGTAGTTTTGAGATAATTGAATTTGAAATATTTTTCTTGTATTGTATTTATTGTATGCGACTTGACATCGGTTAAAAAGTCGTAACTTCCTTATTACTACAGATAGATGGACGCTGCAAGTAGCAAATGAAAATTCAGAATATTATCATAAGCTTAATATATTAAACTCATTTTTGACATAAATGGACAATCTAGTCTGGCTCTGGGGTACAGAATTGGTCTGCTGGTCGACAGCTCTTTGCTCTGCTGTACCACTGTACAGTATTGAAGAAGGATTTCACACCTTGACAATTCTGGTTTTTCACTGTTCCAGGTAGAAACAGGCCAGGTATAATATTTGAACCATGCTCTTAACCAAGATACATCTTAAAGTTCTCACCTGTTCGGAGACCGTCTTTTATCTGTCTCTATGTTTTAAAGACGGCAATCATCTACGTCTATCGGGTACGGATAATTTATTGGGTTACATGTTTCATGGGACAGATAGCCTTTCAGAATCGTTTTCTTCACTTAACAGCATCTATCGTATAAAGGTTTTTTATTCTCACCTTTATTAGCAATCATAAAATGATGTTGGAAATATTAGCTTTGTGAATCAATGCTACTCCAATAATATTTGGATTAATTAATACTTAATCAAATACTACATTATTAATCTGCTATGAGGTGTTGTCACACCCAAGGATTAGGAAATTGCTGCCAGATAAGGGTAGAGGAAAGATTCCGCATTCGATCATAGCTCCCTTAAAAAAATCCTGTCCGGTAGTTTGGCGATATACCATATCGTATGAGAATATTAAAACCGAGTAATTTCAGACTTGATAGTTCACTAAAATGTTCAGTTTCTTTTTAATTATCCACGGCTGGCAATATTTCTAAACCGCTGCAGCAGAAATTTAGAGACGAATCTTCTTGACGATAAACTGAACATAGCTACATGGGTATTTCTCAGAAAATTCCGAAATTCATGTCCTGAGCCATTGATGCTAAGTTGCATGGATTTATCATCAATTTAACATTTTTAATATATCAATAAGTATCTACACTAATATTTTAAAAGCAAAAATTTAGATAATGTATTGACAAAGAAATACGATTAATTTATTAGTCTAAAAGTCATTCCGTCATCTCGTCCCTGGGTCTGAAGTTACTAATAAAAAAATATATACAATCAAATCTGTTCATATTCATATAAATTGAATATTACTTAAATATTTGGTAATAAGTATCGATTGTATAGTCAAGCTTTTATTGCTAAAAAATAAATATGTATATAGAAAAATCTATTTAAACTGTCCCTTGAAATGAAATCATTCCCTCACCCATTATAAATATTCGATTTGTGGTCACACCATTTGATATTTTTGAACGCAGCTGTTATGTTCTGCAAACTTGGCAATACTGCTAATACATGTAATATCAACATGGCGGAATTTCTTAATAGTGAAAAGAGTTGCTGCAAAATAGTATTGGATTTCAATAATTAGAACATTACATTTCTCTGTGTCATTACCTCACTGCCTATATTAAAAGGTAAGTCATTATACTGTTCAAATGTTTTAATGATTTTTTTCTTGTTTTGGGGAGTAAACTGCATTCACAAAATGCTAAATCAATTTGAGGTGATGTACTGTTGTTTACGGCGTCGTTTATGCAAATCCGTCATTCCCTCACTATATTAGAAAGCGAGGCAAAGGAAATTATATGAGGGAATGAATATATAAAATTGTGGTTGGGGTGTTATTGTTTCACTCCAGGTTGTATAGCATGTGTTTTCAATTTTAGATATCTGTATATCAAGTGGGGAAAATGAAGAAGTTAAGTGAAGAAGAAAAGAAATTAAAAAGGGAGTACGACAGAAAGAGGCGAGAACAAATGAAAATTAATGCTGAGTCTTTAGAAGCTTTGCGTGAAAAAGAAAATTAAAGTATTTAAAGAAGAAGTTAAGTCAATAAGTCCTATGAGTGCAAGAGAAGCTAGTCAAAAACGAAAACAATGGAAAAAGAATAGTAATGTTCATAGGGAAAAGCGAGTTACATTACAAACACACACACATACACCCTCCTACCCTGTGCGGTCTCTCCACCACCCCTGTTCCAGGCATCCTCAAACCCTTGAGGAGTGGGGGGGAGAGCAATCTGCTCCTTCCTCCTCTCCCGCCCGAAGGCCTGGCGTAGCGCTGCGTGGTTCAGGCCGCTGCGCATTCCCCGAGTGTGTGCTGTCGAGCGAGCTACCCCCTCCCCAATTTTGCCCCTTTTTCCCGAAGTTGACTCGATCGCGCACGCGTCGCGGAAGCACGTGGTGGACGTTTCATCCAACTGTCGGTTCTCGACTTTTATGGACGACCTCTTTCTTGGGGGTCCTGCGCTGGGGGCTCACCCCGCATTAAGGTTGGTGAGCCTTCGCACTTTCCTCGTCGACTGGAGTCAGTCAGTCAGTTATTTGCTGTTTGTCTTTGTCTCCTGAGGTTAGCCTCGAGTCCGTGCTTGACTCTGGCCACCTCAATCGACAGGCTTCTTTTTGTCCACCCGTTGTACACGGGCTGTACTTTCCCCTCTTGGGTGTACAACTATTGTCGGTCTTCTCCCCTTTTCTTTGGCCTCATCAGCTGCTAGGACCAAATTTCTTCTTGTTGCAGCTGGCTTTTCGGTCTTTTATGACGCCTTATTGTTCTTGGGTCGTAATTCAAGGCGTCTTTAATCAGCACGTTTCGATGTCTTTCGTTCTTTTCAAAGAACTTTCGGGCCCTCTCTCTCATCTGGATTACGACCGGTACCTGTTGGAATGTTGTCGTTTTTATATTTTTATGTATAAACATTCCAATAAAAATTATTATTATTATTATTATTATTATATAGCACTCTGCTAGGTACATACCACGGTGCCTCCACCGCCTCACGGAGTGCTATGTTTTGTTGAGCTTGGATCCTCTTCTTCAACGTTTTGGAAACGTAGCCCCAAGCTACTGCTGCGTAAGTCATGATTTGGAGCAGAACCATCTGAATCATGATGGTCTTATTCTTTAAGGACACTTTGCTTCTTCTGCCTATTAAAAGTCTTAGTTTTGAGCGTGCCACCTTCAGTTTCTGCAACTGGCCCTCGACGTGGTTCTTCCAAGTGAGTTTTTGGTCCATCTTGACTCCAAGGTACGTGCTGGAGTCCTTCCAATCGACCTCAACTTCTTCGTGTCTTCTCCAGCCTCTCTCCATTCTGGTGGTCCTCATCTTTATTTTGGTTTGACGTAATTTTCGATTTCTTCGGAACAGTACCGCTTCGGTCTTCTCAGGGTTGAGACGGATCTTCCACTTGATGCACCATTACATTACAAACAAATTTACAGGGGATAGTTGAAGACACACCCCCACCAAGTCCTGTACCATCTTTACAGCACAGAGCAGAGAATTTGTCGGCTCCCAACAGACGTAGAATGCGCAAGCGGCGAACAATTCTGTACGCGAAGATTAAAAGTTTGGAAAATAAAGTAAGGAACGCAGTCAAGCTTAGCGAAAAATATAAGAAGAGGTGTTTGAGATTGAAGACTGAGAATACTGACCCAAACTCTCCAGCAACTAAAGTGTCTTCGCTTTTAAAGAATATACAAGTTCCTGACGTTGTAAGAAAAAGACTCATTTTCAGAGGAGCAGTGCCAACGGACCTTCAGATTATCTATGAGGATCTTGAAAGTAAACATGGAGAAAAGAAATAATATTACATGTTGAAGCTGCAATAAGTACAAAAGATACAAATTGCTATATAGATCGAAACATTTTTTCAGAAACGATACGTACAAAGAGAACTGTACTCGTAAAGTTAGCTCCAAAATACCCAAATAGGGGTGATGTTCATTTCTTAGAGAATGATGAAAATACGAGGATGTGCCCGTTAAAACAAATCTCAACACATCTATTAATAAATTAACTTATGTTTTTTATTGCAATTCAGCATTAAATCGTTGTCAAAATCATTCCCCCATCCTATCAGTCATTCCGTCATTTCATAGTTTTTTAAAAGGCATTTTTCTACATGTTATACACAAAAATATGGAGGACCTTCATTTTCAATGAACCCCACTAAAGTAAAAAATTATATTTCTGCTAAAAAAAGGATATGTTTTCATTACATTTTTTAAGAATCGCAAAACGAAATTTCTAAATTTGTTGAGAAGTACCCACATACATATCTATATGACAGCTTGCTGCTGTTGAATCTTCAATCCCCTTATTTTCCATTTCAGGGCATATGTTGAAAATAATCACCTAGATTCCCAATGACTATGAAGGAGTATCATGGTAAGTCGACACATGATTGCTTGTTACTATTTTGGACGCCACAAGCCTAGCTTTTAGAAAATGCAAAGCTCTGCTTATGTCATCTTCGTTTTCTCGCTCACTTGTCCAGAAAGTTGCTGTTTTTACGAAATCTTAGACGAAACGTTGTACTTTAACGTATACTAAGTGACATATAAATCCGAACACCCAGTTTAAATGGTTTTATTTTAATAAAATTTTGTACTTAATGGAGCATAATAAGTAAATGATAAAAATTTCAAAATGATTGCACTGCTTTAAAGCCCTTTGTCCTTTAATAATCTGTGGATGCACCCTGATGTGCTACGCATTCTCCAACGCGCCTAGGCATGCTTCTGATCAGGTGGTCAATGTCTTCCTGTGGTATCTCATTCCACGCAACCACCAACTCCTCTCGAAGTGCTTCTAGAGTCTGAGGAGGACGTTGCAAATTGAGCAATCTCCTACCCATCATATCCCACACGTGCTCAATTGGGGATAAGTCGGGAGATCTTGGTGGCCATGGTAACAATGTGACATCATTATGTTGAAAGAAGTCTATTGTGACTCTTGCAACATGTGGTCGGGCATTATCTTGTTGGAAAGTTGGATCTGCCAGGGTGTCAAGATAGGGTAAAAGATGGGGTTCTAGAACTTCGTGGATATAAGGCTGCGCGTTCATGTTACCTCTGATGAAGATTAAAGGTGACCTGGAACCATAAGCTATAGCACCCCAAACCATAACTCCAACAGTGTGATGAACATGTCCTTCAACAAAAAACTGTGGATTCCTCCTTTCACCACGTCGCCTTCTAACCCTGGCACGACCATCGTGCATGCCTAAACAAAATTGAGACGCGTCACTAAAGACAATACTGTTCCATTCCTGATCCCAGAGTGACCGTTGTCTGCACCACTCAAGGCGATTACGTCGGTGTTCTCGAGTTAAAGGGAGGACCCAGTGTGGCCGGTATGAAAACAAGCCAAAACTTCTCATTCGTCGGTAAACACTTCGCATGCCAATAGGTCTTCCGTGTTCTGCGAACCATTCATTTGCAATGGACCTGGTAGTGGAGAAACGGTCCCTTAAGGCCAATAATCTTAGGCGGCGATTTTCACGGTCTGTTGTTCTACGGCGGCGTCCAGTGCCCCTTGCTCTTTGCGTACGGCCTCCTCGAAGCCATGTCTGACAACACCTAACCACAGTGTCTACACTTCTTTGCACTCTAACTGCAATTGCCCGAAAAGAAAGTCCAGCTTCCCGAAGTCCCACTATACGGCCCCTATGAAACTCACTAAGTTGACGAAATCGTACAGGTCTCCGTACTCTAGGCATCGTAACCGATCGTAAAAGATGTCAAGAACCAAAATCCGCCAACGTTGATTCTTTACTGCGGCTGAAATATTCATTTTTAGAGCGTTAGTGAATTAAAAAAAAGCAGTATAAAAACCGGAATGTCCAACTGATAAGGCTGAAAATTTTTTCACTTGTTATTTACAGTAAGATAAATACATTCACCAACTTTTATTGAAATAAAACCAATTAAACTGGGTGTTCGGATTTATATGTCACTTAATATATTTTAACCTTCCATTATGCATGAAATTAACGTGTCTTGACATGCCTTTTTCCATTTTCCTAACAATAGTTGCGAACCTGTTTATTGCCTGACTCCACTACTGCTTCAGCGAGAAAAACAATCTAGTCAATGTATCCCAAAGTTCACACAAAAGGTTTATAATTGTCCACAATTTACTCGTTGATGAGATGATTGCGCGAGCTTCAGCCGTTTCACGTAACATGATAAAAACTTTGGCCTGTACGAATCGGGAAATGGCCATTGGAAGAAGTAGGTCTGAAATGGGTCTCATTACATGTAACATTTGCGAAATCACTCCTTAATGGTAATGCCAGGAAAACGAGAAAACGGCAGTTGTTTTAGATAATACTAGCGGTAGAATCGCCAACGAGGATGCAATTACAGAACCAAATTGGATATGCGCGTTTTCGCCGAGATTCTAGGTAAAAATGGGTTTGGTTGTTTTTACAATTTGCCTATATAGAAAATTCCAACACTCTAATTATCACCAAACGTTATAGCATTTCAGCTTTCGAGTTGTGTCCGTTTCTAACCATTCTTGTAGAATGTTTAATAGGGGTCGAAAGTGTTGAAATTTCAAACCAGTAAACGATTTTCGAGATCCAAAATTTTAGCATACATCTATTAACAAAAATCCAGCCTACAGCTAATTTCAAAAATGTTTAGTAAAAAAAATATTTTCTTTTTCACGACCACAAGGATGTGCTAGCATCATTGCTAGACGACAAAGGTTGAAAAATCACATTCAGCCTAGACCATGCTGATGAGTAGCTATAGTATAGCACTAAACAGCTATCCATGGTTGATTGTCTTTGTCGGATGGACGAAAGCAGCATCTTTAGTTGGTTGAGCATTTCTCAATGGATTATATTATCTCAGCTCCACAGTTATGCAATTCTTCGTGAAAAATAAATTTCAAATTCAATGATCTTTTTCAATCTCTATACAGGGTGTTCCTTAATGATATGCGAATATTTCAGAGTGTGAATCTACATGAAAAATTAAAGTTAGTTTGCTTTATAAACTATGGTCAAACAATGTTTCCTTACAAAAACTCGGGGTGTTTCAGGAAAAAATGGAAATTAATTAATATTTTCAGAACCGCTTCAGATATTTCACTGATATTTAGCACGTAGTGAAAGTTGATAAAGTTACATATTCTTCAATGCTAAAATAATTTTTAGCTTCAACAGTGGCGTGCGTACGGGTATTGACTTCGATATTTTTTAAGAAAAAAATGGTACGCCAACGGTTGTTTGCCAAATAAAAATTATTTTTGAATTTTCCATTCAATTTAAAACAAATGATTTTTCTTGAATTGCTTTCCTTGGATGCTCCATTTTTGAGTAAAAAAATGAAAACCAAACTATTGTCTAACTTGCAAAATGATTACTAATTTAATTGGAAAAATTAAACACATTAGGGGTAATGAACAACAAGAACTGACAACATAAACATAACATTAAGACCAACGAAATGATTAAAAAAATTATTGAAAATGGCCCTTTTCACTTAGTATGCATGCTTCTCATGGAATTGCGCACTCGTTGAAATATCCCTGGAATGTTTTTTTCTATCACAAGCTGCAACTATTCTTTCTCTTAATTCCTCTACAGTGTTAATACGACTTGTGTACACTAGTGCCTTAAGATAGCCCCACCGAAATAAATCTAAACTGTTGAGGTCTGGGGACCTTGGTGGCCATTCTTGGGGCTCCAGAGCGGCCAATCCAACGATTTGGATAAATAGTTTGTGAATAATTACGAACCGCTACACTGAAATGCGCTGGTGCACCATCATGCATGTACCACATATTGTTTCTTATTACTAACGGAACATCATCAAGCAGCAAAGACAACTGTTGTTGGAGAAAATTGAGGTAAGTCTGTCCTTCAAGTTGTCCCGGCAAGAAGAATGGACCAATAAAGTGGTTGCCAATAATTCCTGCCCATACTTTAACCGAAGATTGGTGTTGGAAACGGGAAATGGTTACGGCATAGGGATTTTCTGCCCACAAATTATTATTGTGGAAATTCTGAATGGCATTTCGAGAAAAATTAGCTTCGTCCGTGAACAGAATCATTGATACTAATTGCGGATTTTGTGTAATTTTTTGAAGATACCACTGATAAAAGATCATACGCCTTGGAAAATCCATGGGAAGTAATGCCTGTACTGTCAAAATATGGTAAAAATATAACAAAAAAATCACTAAAATTTTCCAAACAATTTGATGGCATATTTATGTGTCTAGCGATCTTCCTCGTACTCGTTTCAGGATGTTCTTCGACTTCGTGCAGCCCTGCTTCCTCAATTTCAGGTGTTCTCACACTTGGAGGTCTATCTACAGATGTTCCTTTTGGGACAGAACCAGTTTCAACAAGTCGATGATGAATATTAGAAAAGGTTCGACTATCTGGCAAAGCACGATCGGGATATCTCTGGTGATAAATCCGTCTGGCTTGATTACCATTACCGTCGGCAAGGCCATATACGTAATGCATTTCCGCCATTTCTGCATTTAAACAATTCAACATTATTAACAAGATTGTAAAAGCTAAATAATGAAAAAGATGTCAGAGCGAACAGCTTTGAATAACAGAGACTTGTCAGATGTCAAAAGCCAGTGACATATTCCAAAGCAACTAGATATTTATTGCTAAATTGCATTCTTCAATTATTACATTAATTTTCTGGGACAATAGGACGGTTTTTATTTTTTTACTCAAAAATGGCGCATCGAAAGAAAACAATTCAAGAAAGATCATTTGTTTTAAATTGAATAATTTTTATTTGGGAAAAAAACATTTTTTTTCTTAATAAATATCGAAGTCAATACACGTTCGCACGCCACAGTTAAAGCTAAAAATTATTTTTGCACTTAAAATATGCAACTTTATTATCTTTCACCACGTATCAGTGAACTATCTGAGTCGGTTCTGAAAATATTAATTAATTTCCATTTTTTCCTAAAACTTCAACACCCCGAGTTTTGTTAGGAAACATTTTTGGAACATAGTTATATAAAGCAAACTTACATTAATTTTTCATGTAGACTCACACCCTTAAATATTCGCATATCATTAAGGAACACCCTGTATACAAATGTAAATGTCTGTCCAGTCTGCATCACGTCTGAACCACAATACGGAGAGCGGCTCGTCATCACCACACTCGATCTGTGACCGTAAAGGGATAAGACGTTTTATTTTGTACCAGCTTTTTCCCGCGACTTCCTACGCATAAAACTGTTACATAAAACGTTCTTAAACAATACTATGAATTTCAATCAGTTTTTGTATCTTTGATGGAATTAGCAAATTGTTAGCCAGATTGATGTTACACGCTCCGCTGGTAAAATCGCGGGGCAGAGAGCTAATAATTAAAAATAAGATCTGCAGCAA